AAAAAATTTTTTGGCTTGATTTACGGGGGGGGGGGGCACGGGCCCTCATGGCTCACTGCTGGATCCGCCACTGTTTCAGATTTGACACATATTTGGGACCACCACCTTGACATTTTAATTGCGCGATACATCCGACGAGTGGTGGTGGTGGAATAGCAAACACGAAGACCTCAACTCAAGGCAACAGGTACGTTATTTAGTTGTTTTCCATCATATTTAGTTAAGCAGTAGACCTACAAAATAGACCTTGATGTTCAGGGTGACATTTATTGATTTTTGTTGACACTACACATTTGTTTTGGTAGCATTCACAAACTGTGGTGCGGTCTTACAGAGTACACAGGAATATGAAGGGAAACGATTTTATTTGTCTCACTGCTGATTTGTCTTTCTACAACTTTTCAGGCACATAAAAAGATTGATTAACTGATTGTTTGATCATCTGTTTGGCTTGACTTACTAAAATATTCATTGATTCTATTGATTAAACACTATCGAGGTCGGGATCCGATTCTTTAAATTCGCAGGGACACATATTATAATCAGCGGTACTGACTTTGTGCACGAGGGGTATTTCGTACCCGCTAGCAGAGCTATGACTCTCCATGTCACTCGCGCTTCCTCTCTTTCCAGAGGCAGTAACAAACGTGCTACACTCTTGTCGGCCTCCCGTTGTGTAGGATCCAATATTTGCAAATGTAATTTCTTTTTTAGCTTCCCTGTAGGGATTCGTAAGGTGTTCACTAGATCTGTGTTTTGTTAACGTAATCATTTTTCCCGATCTTGTTTTTTTCGGTGGGTCATGGCAAACAATGTCAATCATTTTCCCTGGCAAACTTTCCTTATTCTTGAGAGTCGAAACTTTAGACGGATTGTCAAGCGGTTTTGAAGAGTTTACAGTTAATGGCGTTCTAACATAGGCTCTCTTATTAATTGCAATTTTCAGTCTATTTGATGTATGGAACCTGACAGTAGCATCCTCTGAAGAAACCTGGTGTTTGGCCAATTTAGCTACCAGCTCTTTATCGAGAACATCCACTGACGACGATTTCTTTCTTAATTGCGTAAGAGTTGTAACCGGTAGTAGCGATACGCCGTCTTCTTCCCGTTTGGGTGGCTTCTCGGTGCGCATCAGACTGGGTTCTTGACTAACTAACCAATATGTCTGAACATCACCCTTGCCTTTCATCGAAACGAATCCTCTTTCAGAAAATCCATAACCTCCAATTCTTTCTAAAATATTCTTGGTCTCTAAACTGCAATGGATTTTTAACGCTGCAAACAAAACAAAACAAGGCATGAATTACAATTTTTATAATGTAGACCCTATGCATACACAACATATGTTAAATCATTAATGCCTGATCATCTACAGTTTTAGAAGGACGTTTATGTGATCAGACTAAAGAGAGTGTATTTTTAATTTTTTCGGACTACACAGAAGATGTACATAAAGACAGACAAAACACCATAAGTAATTATGTTAACGGTGGATTTAAAAACCTCATATCGTATGGACCTATTATTTTTAAGCAAACAAATATGCGTAATATGAATGAACAGTAATATTGTGGCTAAGATTTAACGAAAAAGAAAAGAAAAGAAAAGAAAGGTCTTTAAACAGAAATGAAATATTTTCATATGTAGGACTGGGAATCGTAAGTTGAAGATAGATTAAATTTATGCGTTAATATAACTCACGCATTCCATTAGACTCCATCCTGGAAGCCGTGTTCACCGTATCACCAAATAGGCAATATCGCGGCATAGTCCGACCCACTACTCCTGCAACTACTGGGCCTGAAAATAAAAAGAATGTTAGATAATCTTAGTGTGTCGCTTATATTAGGAGCTGGGATCGTTTAGACATAAAATGGCCTAGGGATTAAATGTGAGCTGTCGTGACAACATGAGTCTTGTGATACACAGAATGAACAATTATCGATATGTTTAGATAGATGACTATATAACTTTATTTTGGTCTTTCAATCAGGATCCTAGGTTAAGTAAAACCGAAAGAAGATCTTTCTGAAGTTCAGATGTCTGAAAACATATTTAGGAAAAAATCGCCTCTAAAGATACAACTAATAAAATAGCTTTACAAAATGTGCCTCAAAGACATGTTTGATGAATTGATTGATCGATCGGTCGGCCCATTGATTGGAAAGTTTGTTGGTTGATTTATTAATTCATTAGTTAGTTGATTACATGATTGATATAATTGGTTGATTAACAGATTGGTCGATTGATACCTGAGTGAATGCCGATTCTAAGCTTCAAAGTCTCGTTAGGCCTGTGTGGTATTTTGAATTCGTTGACGGCGTTTAAGAGATGCAGGGAAGTAGATGCAATTTCAGAAGCATGCCTGTCGCCGTTGTAAAGTGGTAACCCGGACACTAACATGTAAGCATCTCCAATAGTTTCAACTTTGTAGACGTCATAAAAGCCAATTATTTCGTCAAATGAAGTGTATAAATCGTTTAACATGTCGACAATCTATGGATTTAGAAATGAAATATTATGCGATTGATAACATTTAAATCATTGCTGCAGTTATCTTTAGTTCTTTCCATTTTATTCAATAAAACTTCAATCAGATATAAATAAACATAAATGGTACTTGGTGGTTATCCTTTTGATCACTCCACTTGAGAGTCTGACAAGAAGCCGTGGGGATCTGGTTTAATGATATTTAGTGTAGGCCTATGTACTTGGTGCATAACATTTCTATGTATTCAGGTTGACCAATGTCGACCAACTAATTCACTATTCTAAAGTATATTCGAAGTACGTTTTTACCTAAAGTGTTATTTAATGTAGGGCTATAGGAATGAAAAGGTACCTTGCAAATATAATTTAATGTTTCATGTACATTATCACCTGTTTTTTTTTTCTTACAACCGCTTGTGGGTATGGGAATGGAGATTTGGTAAAACACCGATGTATAAAATATGTTATTCCACCAAGATTGTATAATAAAGGACGTTCCCTACCTGCATCGGGCTGCTTTCAGACGACAGTGATGTAAAGCCTACAATATCACTAAAGAAAACGGTCACACAATCGAACGCTTCGGGGATTACGTTGTAGCCACGTTTGAGTTGGTTTGCAACGGGTCTAAGAAAAATTCAATAGTGAATCATTTTAAAAGTATTCCATCCTCTCTAGTAATCATCAAAGGGTGCACTGATGTAAAAGTGTTAGTCTAAATAAATATTATTAGGCCTAATACCAGTATTAGTGAAAAATGAACAACTCTAAGAAGTTCGTTCGAGATAAGAAAATATTTAAATCAGAAGTGATATCAAAACTATAAAAATGACTTTCACAAAAAACATACTAACACTGTTAGTACACCTACCTCGGGAGCATCTGGTGAAGCAGGTTTTCCGTCTTCTTTTTTTCGTCAACAAGTTGTTGAGTTCGTTCGTCAACAATCTCCTCAAGATTGTTGGCATATTTTTCCATGATGGAGATCATGTTATCCAGTATTGTAGGTTTCCTAAAAAGAAATATTTATAGTACTTGTATTACTTGTAAATTTTAGGTTTCAATAATGTAAACCAGTATAACTTCGGTATACCGTTTGGGGAGTTAATCTGCATTTCATTATAAATGAAAAACTCTTCTTGAATATTTTGTTTCAATATAAAGTGATTGCCAGTCTGACTTACAAACATGTGATTTTAAGCTTAAAAGTAGGCCTAGTCTCAATGAATCGTTTCACTGAGCCACGCTTCTTAGATATTCCCAGCTAACATTATTACGTTATAAGAACGTTATAATAACGTTACAGTTTGGTGATAAAAACGTTATTTTGTAGAACCATGTACGTACTTATAACCTAATTTCACAACGTCACAACGTTTGAACGTTCTTACAACGTTGCGTGAACTTTTTTTGTGAGATACCAAACCACAACCTTCGCCAACGTTATGAGAACGTTTTGTGTTTGCTGAGTTGTTGCTAAATACGATATCCCACAAAACGACAGCTCGCGACAATGTACGCACACAAGTGTGTTTGTAGGACAAGCACGTATTTCTGGGCATTTTGTGATTGGTCAGTTGTTAAAGCCCGGCTTTGGAGGAAAAATGTTTTGATATGTTGTTGTTGATTTCTGAATATTTAACAACTGTTATATTTACATTAATTTTGCACTCATTTTTTGCGCGCATTGTTGTTATATGTTTGGTGGCTCACACTGAACATTGTAACGTATACTTAGCCTACAATCTTGTGTTTGCGTCAACTCGCCTGAATTAAGCCTAATTTAGTTTAAACCAAGCTGTCAACTATATTAATACTGTGATAATCGTACGTGCGAAATGAAATTAGATGCCAGTCCTGTAAAAAAGAAATACTAAGCCCTTCCACAAAGATTGAAAAACTAGTTCTGAAAAACAGTACAAGCAATCAGTATACGAAAGTACACACAATGCTATCTAAATAGTGTTCGGTTATAAAGAAAATAGCAATCAATGAAAAAAATTGACTAAAGCGATATATTAAATACTGTATAAGGCAATTTTGTTTTACTTCCTTTCATCTGAGTTTTGCCGTAGGCCCTACTTTATTCTAGGCGCGGTTTACACAAATACACGTGCGCATTCCTGTTTATTTCTACCGTAGATATATTGAAGCAGGCAATGATGACTGATAGATTGAATAGGCTATTATGAAGAAAAATATTTTTATAAGGTCAGATGGAAAATTCGTGCTGAAGAGAATGTTGAAAATATAAATTTTTGAAAGAGGAAGTTACCGTTTGACCGTATTACGTTTGTCTTCATCTGTGAAAAGAGGACTTAAATAAAAAACAAAACAAAAGGGAAACTTCATCAATGATAAATTATGTCTTTAATCTTAAAAGTTGTACAAGCAGCAGTGAGACGCCCTGATTCCAACAGTTATGTTAATGTACTATACGGTATCACATCCCTATAGATTTTTAAAAAACATACCGTACTCGTTTGGTTATAAATTAGTTGGAAGGCATATTGATTTACTTACTGCATTGTGGTGGATGCTCAAAATACTTAAATAATATTATTCATTAGAAGAATGACACGATTTTATAAAAAATATACAGAAAACTGCTTGTCACCTACTAAACATTGAAACAACAATTGGTATCGAAAAGGGCGTACTTACATGCCTTTTTGGAGAGGGCGTAGTTTGGTCTTGATGGTTTTGAAGTCTGGTCTTTTCTCAGGATCTTCATGCCAACATTCTTGCATTGTCTTTAAGATGCACTCCGGACATTCTCCAATAACCATAATGTTTGGTCGAAATGGATTTGTGTGATCAAGTGGAAATTCTACTTTTTGAATTATTTCTATAAATTTTGATATGAGAATATATATTTAATTTCACATTTTATAATACTGTAACAAGTCACTAACTAATCATAAAACTTGGATATGGTATTTTTTGCCGATGACAGCACTTCCATTATTATTCATCATAAAAATCCCCAAGCAGACTTTGAGAACTTACAGTAGTAAACAATTAAAAAAAACAATATTGAACTTAAATACCTTTCAAAATAGTTTAAAGCACATTGTAACCCAACTTTAAATGTCAGAAAGTCTAAATATGTCATTTAGAGCAGCAAACAATAAAGTAATTGATAGGCCTAAAGGTGGTCGACATTTAACAGCTGACAGAGTGATAATTGAACGTGTAGCACAAATAAATTTTGAGGTTATATCTTTGTGCATTTTTTTCATAAATTTACCATATCAACACAGTTGTGTCAAAAGTGTCAAAGATTATTGATATTCAAAACTGTACACTAAAAATCTCCCCGTGTGTGGATTTATCACGTGGGGCTCGTTAGGTTCTAATTATCTAACTTCCTACATATTAAAATAAAGAACACCAATTCTTAATGTATTTGATATTTATTTGGAAAAGCTTGCTGCCTTCAATCTTTCCGCCTTTCCGCTTAAGCCCCGCCCCTTGGATACTGTTGCTAAGGTCCCACAAAATGACAGTGTTAAAAGATACGCACGCGAACACGTGCGTTTGTGAGACAAGAGCGTATTCCTGGTGCTGTTCTGATTCGTCAGTTGTTAAGTTTGATTGACACTCCGGAAAGGGTCTCCACAAAAACTTGTTCCAATAAAAAAAAATATATTTGAGTACATACCGGGTGGACTGAACCTGCAGTCACCAAACGGGCCATTCCTAAGTATGACGTCATAGAGCAGAATACCAAACGAATACACATCGCCTTTCTGCGTGCCCTCAGCCGGGGCATGAGGCTTGCGAAGCAGCTCTGGAGCTTTCCAGAGAAGATCTTCAGAAAGAACAGATGTGTTATGGAGAGGAATTAAGTGTATAAATCCCAATAGTTAAAGGTGTCCTCAATATTATTAGGAAATATTTTTTTTTTTTGTAATACTGTAATGCTAAGCACATAGAGGTCTCTACAATATGCGCTATACAAGTAGACTATTATTATTATTATTATTATTTATTATTATTTTTTATTATTATTTTTTATTACTATTTATTATTATTATTATTATTATTATTATTATCATCATCATCATCATCATCACTGTATATCAAGTATCAAATTGACCTTTCTTTTATAGCTTCACCGTACTTTTTTTTCCACATGTTATTGCAATGCAGTAAACGAAATTATATATAAGCACATGATAGTAAATTAAGGTACGGAGATACATCGCCACTAATGATAAATAATGATGATAATATATTTTTGAGAAACGGGACAATAATTGGAAATAATAACGTAAACTACCTTACAGCCTGTTGCTGAGTGCAATCCCTGGTGTAATTACCATGTATTTTACTTGTAAATACAAATGTAATACTACATTTAACATTTAACATTTTAGGCTTAAGGTCGCATATAATTATATCGTACCTTCATACTGCGCATGTTCACCGTAATCTTCTTTCTTTTCACCAGCCTTAAAATTATGTAGACCAAAATCTGTAATTTTGAGAATCCAACGACTGTCCACCACACAGTTTGACGATTTCAAATTTCCATGCGACTTAATTTCACTAACGTGAAGGTATGACATGCCCTTGTAAAACGGAAACACATTTAAGTAAGTACGTGTGTCGATTATCGGGGAGGGGGTATAAAATTACATTTCAGTATATCCTGAAATAAGAATGATTTGTTTTGCTCGTGGTGTCTTGTATGAATGGTATAATAAATAAAATTAGATAGAAGTTTTCACCTTGACAATATCTGCAATCAGCGATGCTTTAAACATGTCATCCAATTTAATGTCGTCATTCGCCAGTATATCCTAAAGTCAGATACAAAATCCATATCAGAGTAGGAAATACTAACTTCCAGTGTACTTTTAATGTTATTTGGTTGTTATGAATTACTAAATTACCGTAAATGCTCGAATAAGCACAGATGCGCTTATAAAATTTTTGGCGACTTTTGGTGCGGCGCTTATTCGAAAGCGGAGTTTATTCGAGAGCGGCGCTCGAGCAGTTATGATATAGTTAGGGCTATTATGATTGTGCTTAATCATTACTTGTAGACTTCCTTTGCCGCAATACTCCGTGACAATGTACGTGTTACTCGGTTCGATACAGGCGCCAATAAACGCTGTGACGTTAGGATGGCGTAAGTCGCGGATCTGCAGTATAAAAACATATATTAAAATAAGATATATTCTCAACTAGACATAAAAGGCTACTGATTAATAAAAATAATAACAATAACAATAGGCTTATTATTAATAATGATTATACTATTTTTATTAGTAGGAGTACTACTATTATAACTAATAACACCATTAATAATAATAATATAATTATAATAATAATAATAGTACTAATAATACTAAAAGTTTAGCAGCAGTAATAACAATAACAACCATAACGATAACAACAAAATTGATGATGTAAGATGGATGATTTTTGCATACGTACAACTTTGAGTTCTTTTCTAACTGTTCTCGTGACGTCAATCGCTTTTTTGTTAACAGGGCGCAGGGACACCGTTGTGCCTCGATACAACCCGGCAGTTATATAATTCTGGTTCATACGCAATATATCGTCTGCCGCAGTATGTTCCGTTCCACAACTGTCATGTGAAATTACACTTAGCTGAAAGAAATATAATTTGTGGTGTGTACTAATCATCATTGCTAAATATTGAACAGCGGAAGATGGTGCTCTGGCGGTGCGTTTTACATTACAGGGCCTGATGGTGGGATGAAAAGGTCTGCATGGGAGGGGTATCCGGATGACTAACCTAAACGAAAACACTTTATTCACTACATATACATACTTACATTGCAACATTTACATAGCGATATTTCATGAAGGTCAGAATGATTTTCGCTTTTTTTTCTAATGTAATGTAGCTATGAAAATACATAACAACAGAAGAAAACAGGAAAATGAGGAAATAAAATAAAACAACGCAGATGAAACCAAACATCACCGCACGTTCCCCAGCAATTGAAGGCAAAAGGCCTGCCAGGACAGCATTTGAATGATGTTGGCATCTAGTCCTAGTCAATTCCTAATCACAAGGAAACAATAAAAATTTCAATATTTTCTTAAATATTGTAACAGAGGCTGAAATACGAATTTTGCGTTGTAATTTGTTTTTGTAATGTGGTAAAACATAAGAAAATGTCTACCGATGTGAAGTTGTGACTGAGTTGATTGGTAGACTTTTCAGCATTCTGAGAGATCTGATGATGTCTGCGGTGAGAAGAAATTGCTACTGAGATCATCGGAAGTAAAAATGCTGCAAGATGTTATTTTTGAACATTTTATTAAAATATTTTATGTCATATTTATTAAAATTTGGCCCCTATGTACTATTCAGTCGTTAAAGCCGTGCCAATTTAATGACGTTTTTATTTATAATTATTGTATTAATTGTATTTTAATGTGTATTTATATTCAATGTACTACTTAGTGAAGTTCTCATTCTCCAACCTTGAAACAGTTCAGAACTGCACTTAAAATTCACCTTTTCAATCGCTTCTGTAATGGCAATGGGAAACCATCTGTGTGCACTTTACTGTGTGCACTTTTATATTCGAATTATTATTATTGATTATTATTATTGATTATTATTATTATTATTTTTATTATTATTATTATTATTAATATTATTATTAATATTATTATTAATTATTAATTATTAATTATTAATTATTAATTATTAATTATTAATTATTAATTATTAATTATTAATTATTATTATTATTATTATATTATGTGTTTTCTTATTGTACATTGTACGGTATATTGCCACTTGTGAATATTGAAGTCCGGTATTGCATACTCGATTGGTTAAATATTCTAGTTACTTACTTCTAGTTACTGGTCAATTTCATAAACGTTTAGTGATAGAAAACAATAACGCATATTGCAATGTGTGTGTGAAATTGTAGTTTGATTGCTGAGAAATCTATGCATAGAGGCCTATGTTGAAAGAGTACTGAGCTCTTAAAACGTTAAGTTAATATCTACGATATAACATATAGGCCTAATAAAATTCTAATATATAGTTAATTTTTTAAAGTGCGCTCATAAACTATTTCTAAGTATACATTATTAATTTAGAATATTATTATTTATACATATTTATCTTTCAAATTCGGTAAACACAATGAAGAGGATATATATATATATATATATATCCCTCGTTGCTTATTGTCCAAGACTCGAGACTAGGGGTCCTGATTAGGGGTACAGATCTGGCTCGTGGATCTTTCGGAACGAATGCTCTGCTTCACTGTATCTCCTGCCGTTCTGCAAAGATGTGACTGAACGCCTACGTCATATGTGATACTCACTGACAAGTCTCAAGATAATAACGGATTAACTACCTTTCATCTTTCTCAGGATTTTTGCACACAAATTGTATTAAATATGTGTAAAATATTAACATATGCAGAGTTCTTTGTTGTTATGGGGAATAAACAGGCATCTGTATACTTAATATGTGTACATTATAAATAAAACATTTTTCAAATGTGTTGTACATTTTTAACAGAGGGCGCCCATGAGCATCAGCTGGCCTTCTTGGTCCAGTTGGAAGGGTACGGTAAGTATGATAAAATAGAAAACTTTGGAAAGGGGAAACCTCACCTTGCTACTGGAGAGGGCGTGGTTTGGCCAAGTTGAGGTTCCAAAACTAATTTCATTGAAATCTATCTTCCATAACAGGCTTGCTAACTCTTGCTCATATCGCCAATTTCTAAAATAAAATTTGTCCAAAAAAATATAATGAAACCTTTATGTATATTTATTATGATAATCGCTCAAGGAATCGTAGGTGGTGTGTTTAGGCGAATAATGACCCTGAGCCATATAGGGGGGTTTGTCCTTAATGTAGCTTTATTTTTCGAAAGGAATAGTATAGTATAAGTAAGTGTTGTAATAATATTGAACATTGAAATTATATTAATTTACCTGTAAATAAAACAAATCACAACTATAGATATCAACGTGAGGCCACACAAGATTCCTTCAATGATTTGTAATCGAACACTTGATGACATATCTTTGATGCAGAATTCCCCATAGAAACCACATGCCGGCTCATCTACCGGGGCATTACCGGCGATCCAAAGAATACTTGTACCTTCTTTTGCCGTATATACCTGTAATTTTTCAAAAATATAATGTACCTGGCATTATTATTTGATATCTAAAATTAAACCAGTTTACAGCAACTTCTCTGCATCAACTGTACTTCTAGTGTCATCGTTTATTCGAATAATCTTTTAAAAGGGAGTGATGTACTGAATACATCATTTAAGTTACTAAACGAAACGATAACACGATGTGACATATTGAAACTAATCATTTCAAATGAGACGCTGAAGTTGCTGAGGCACCAAATTGTTTAGTCTCTAATCATTGTATTTCGTAATTTTCTTTCCAAAATATATTATGAAGCACATAATTACATAAATTGACTATTTTTTTGTATTTAACATCAAGCATCAATTTCCGTTCGCTTAACATCATCGTCTCTGCAAATATTTCTCAAAATATTTTTCTGTTTGCTAGGGCTAGCAGTCCTTTAATTATTTTTTAGAAACCAATTTGTCCCCGTTGACTTTTACTTCAAAAATGATAATAAATTAATGATTACCCTGTAATTTAATGGAATGGACCTATTCGCTAAGCCCCGCCCCTTGGATATTGTTGCTAAGTTCCCACAAAACGACAAAGGTTAAAACATACGCAAACACGTGCGTTTGTGAAACGACACGTGTGCATCTTAAACATGTGCGCATTAACACTTCGGAAAGGTCTATCAATGTATACTTTTAAATTAAACTAATAATTTTACACAAATAAGCAATTCACATATTTACTGTACATTTTTCCTTGAAGTTTATTAGCTAAACACACACATCTTTAAAATTATTATTTTACGTTTAACGTTTAATGGTGATTTATATACGGATGAGCTACGGAACTGATATTTGCTTGAATAAAGTGTTTGTAAATGATAGTCATGACTAACTACAATTACTTAGTGCATAGTTGATGAAGATATACGCATAGTCCTTTACATTTTAAGTGTTTTGTTCAAACGTAGATACCCTAATTTGTGGTTTTTTATGAAGTAGTTTACTCATATAATTTCATGGGTTTCTGTTTTACACAAAGACAATGTAATCCGCCCACTTACTGGTTTACCATTCGATTCTTGGAACATGGCGACCGGAAGAACTGCGTAACCTGATGTGGTGTTTTGGAGCGCCATTACCGTCACGTTTACGTCTGCATCTCCGTTTTCGTCAATATAACGTTTGTATCCTGCTACACCTTAAAAAAACACATAATGCACGTTTTATTGTCAAGTAATCAAATAATATTTATTTCGCAAACAGTAACTGAACATATACAGTAAAGTTGAAATAAAAATAAATTATTGTGAAAAAGGTACCCCACTGTAAGCAGGCTTTAATTGCCAATCTCACAAAAACGACTACATAAAAAAATATTATTATTATTATTATTATCTAGTAGATATAATGCTAACTAAATTTAAATTAATTAAGGAACAAGGTGCTAAATTCGTTAAAAATATTCATGATTAGATCCAGTTAAGTTTCAAGGAAAACTTGTTTTGCATTCGAATTAGTTGATTCCTGAAGTTACTACATAATCAGTTAATCTAGGTTTAATTATTACTTTACAAGTTTCAAATGTATCTTGGAGGATAAATAAATAAATTAAAGGTACATTGCATTACTAGTGTAAAATCAGTGGCGATCAGTTCGAAAAAGAGGGGGTTCACAGAGAAATTTTACAGATTTATGACTCTAGATGGCCGGAAATAACACTCAGATTTATATGAATGTGGTTTTTAAAGTAAAAACCGGCTGTAACCCCGATGTACCAGTGGTGTATCTAGGGGGTGCACAGGGGGAGGGGTCGCGCACATCCCCAAAAAAAAATATTCGCACACCCAGTCGCCCCCAAAACAATCACGGTCAAGTAGTTAAAAATCACCTTATTTTGCGAATTATGGCCCCTCAACTGATAATCGAGCCTCCCCCCCCCACCCACTTCACCTTCATGTTTCCCCATCAACACCCCTATTTCTAGACTTCTAGATAAGCCACTGCGATGTACCCGTCACTATCAATTTGGTAAACAGACTGAAACTTAACTTCAATGATTATAAAAATACATACCTACTGATTCAAAAGCAGTTAGTATTGGAGACTTAGGCCTACTGGTGTGCCATTGTCTATATCACTGCTGCGCGTATGTTATACTTTATCGGAATTATTGAGAGTTAAACACTACACTTTATGTGTGTTATTCATCATGTGACCCATTTTTCTGTTTTCATACTGTTTGTGCCAACTTGAAATGTATCCAAACGATGTTATGAAAAATAATAGCTTCCATCTAAGTCATATCTAATAATCCATGACCGAAATCTTTGTCATATTGGAAAACATCATTACTTTAGGCTATTATATCAGGGATATTTGATGGCTAGCTCAACGCTAGAGACGATGCGATTAATGATCCTAATCACAAAACCATGCCGACGATATTAAACATTATATCAAACCCTGTTCTGTTTAAATAATATTCCGATATCCAGATTCGGTGTAGAAAATACATTGACTATAGATGAACTTACAAAAACCAGGCGTGCACATAACATTGTAATGTGATTTAGCAAAACAGTAAAGCCAAAATAAAAATATGTATAACTATTTTTCTCTTTTGTACATTCATACCAATATAAGATTGTCTGAATAACTTCTTTATTATAGCTGTTCCATTGTTAATTGATCCACCCTCCGCTAACGTCTGATTTAGAGCTTTTGCGTATTGAATTACTGCGTCAAATAAATTAGCAGCTTCTTCGGTAACCTGAAATAATTTAAGAAAGCAAGAGAAGTTAGAAACATCAGTGTTTATGGAATAAATATTGATCGTGAGGGCAGTGGCGTATCTAGAAGTATTGAAACGGGGGTGCTGATCGGGAGTGCTGATCGGGGGTGCAAAGGTAAATTGTGGGAGGCTCAATAGTTTTTAACTATTTGACCGTGATTTTTTTTAGAGGGTGGGGGGCGCCGCCAGTAATTTTTGGAGGGGTGTCTGCCCCTAGATGCACCATTGCACGAGGGATGTTAGACACACCAGCTCTAAATTTGCCCATAGATACTTGCACAATTTTCATATTTATTCTTCGGTGAAGACAGAAACGGATTGTACTAAAAATATAGGCCGATGAAGGAAGAGTGTGGTTTGAATCACTGCAAGGGTATAACCACTAAGACCAGAGGCATGTATTCAGTGGGTCTTTCCAGGGGTGGCGCCAGGATTTGCCCGACGTGGGTGGAGGCCAAGGTCCCCGACGAGGGGCCGATTCCCCCGACGAGGGGTTAGACTTCCCCGACGAAAGCAATGTGGGCGTGGTCGATTATAAGGTTTCGAAAGTGGTCTAGGGGTCTACTAATAGGCCTATGTAGAAAATACATATAATTTTTTTTTCTCCCCGACGAATTGTGCTTTTTTCGACGGGGGAGAGATGGGTGGGGATGTGGCGCCAGCCCCCCCCCCCGCTGGCGCCACCCCTGGGTCTTTCTTTTTTTTTTATTTATTGAAACCAACAAATCTTATCTGTACCTTATTTTCAGTAGGTGTGGTTATGTAATCTAGGCTAGTATTCTCTATGGTATAGTCAGTAATATAGGCCTACTATTGTAAAATAATATTTAATGTTTGAAAAAATAAGAACAAAATAAGAATCTTAAATAAGCATGAAATCGGCGAAAAATATAAGAACACTGAGCTTGTGCAAAAGTTTTGTGCATCGGTCACATTGCACACGGGGAACGACTTAAACATCTACTAGCAACATACGGTGGCTACCAGTCACTTTAGTCAACTGAGCTATGCTGCCTCTAAACTCACACATTTTGTCATCTTAACTGTATTTTTTACGGCTTTTCTTTCTTTTTTTTTCTTATATAGGCCCTATATATATTTTCCCCCTCGGTTTCTTTTTGCTTCCTTTGTTATGCTATATGATTTATCTGACTTTATCAGCATTATATATTTGTTTAATTTTGCTTTAGTTTGCTAGCTAAGATTACTTTTACCTTTCATTCTCTTGTGTACTTTGTAAGACCGCACCACTGACTGTGAGTGCCAAATAAATAAAATATACAACCGGGAATCTAATGCCAATTATCGCAAAAATGAAGAGAGTTACGTTTGTATAAATCCTCAATTGTAAATCAACTTAATCTTTTTTTAGAATCTTTAGTTTGTTGACCCAACAAGCATGACAGGCCTACAATTAGGAAAAGTTAATGGTTGTTATATAGGCGTAGAACTGAAGCTTGTACTAAATACGCTGCTGTTTCTTACGATATCTCCCTCCGGTTACTGAGTAATGGAGACAGATTTGTACCTGACTTGTAATTTGTGCCTTTTTTAGAGTGTATAGCCAAGGACTTTTATATAACCGGAATCTAAATTGCCTAATTCAACTTAACAATACACATAATGAATCATCTAAATTGCTCCGAGTATATGACGAGCCGAGTTGTCATGTAATCGTAAATAGAGATATCTTAGTTTGAAATAAAGGTACCTTAGTTTTAAATAGAGATATCTTAGTTAAGATAGGCCCTATAGAGAAGTTTTATGTTAGGCTATTTGTATTTACTATTTCGCCTACATTTTTGTATACACAAATCAATTCATACACAAATTAATTCACATAATTTGCTGGCGGAGAGCCACTGAAAGTGATTAAATTCGGTGTAACATCTAAATTCAGTGAATTGTATTTTTTCAGGACATGAAAATCGGCCTTAAAAATTAATTTTAAGACATACCTTGTGGTTGTGATTATAACAATATAATGACGATGATTATTATTATTATTATAATTAAGCTTATTACTATAATTATTATTTTAATTTCCTTCCATCCTTCCACTTACAGGATGGAACGATGGTTTATAAACCAAGCCTCTATGTTTAGGGAGGGAAGTTGTTTTAAATCTTATTCTTATTATTCTTATTCTTTTATTTCCAAAACAAAACACACAGATAGTACACAGAAAAAACATCCAACTGAGTGAGCTGGAAGGAAACACAAAAGCGAACCCCTGTAACTAAAGGTTTCACATTAAAATATTTAAACATTGATAAAATAAACTATATATATAAATATTAAAATATAAATCAAAATCCACCACATTAAAAATTCCACCAAGAACAATGATAATAAAAATGAGATAAAAATAATAATAGTAATAATATTAATAATAATAATAATAATAATAATAATAATAATAATAATAATAATAATAAAACAAATATAAAACAAGCACTTGACTTGAGAAGATGTCCAGCTGTGACAGGAATTGAACTAAGAAGGCAAGCAACCTAACCTATGCAATTCTACTTCAATTATAATGATAATTATAATTACTATTGCTACTTTATTATTATTGTTATTGATATTAGGCTTAGTATTATCAAAACACACAATAAGTTGATTTACAAGTTGTGAAACGATCAGGGTTTTTTTTTTCTGTTTCCCCTATAGAGTGCTACCTACCGTCTTAACTTTGCTATCGTTACAGAGGGCGCTACTTGGCGTTGTGACGACACGACCGAGGTACTCTATACATTATAAATTATTAAGAAACGACAATAACGGACTGACACAACTTACCATTACTCTAGGTTTGCCGAGGGCATCTTCGCTCGCACGATCGATGTTTGTGAAATTGAAATTAAATGGTTCTTTTTCAAGGTAATAGATCACAGCATCCTGGAAACGAGCGTAATCAGGGTTTGTAGGCGGAGTTTGGTACAACATCAATATTGAATGAAGATAAAACTCCTGTTTTGAAGACTTCATCAATTTATACGGATCTATTGGGTAATGCAGAAAAAAAAACAACCTAAATAAATATCCCAATTATTAGCATTTGTACTGGCTTGCTGTGTCTCCTGTCTCACCAAATGAGATTTAATTCCGAGATTACAAGTCCAATGTATTTGTATATTTCACTCAGATTATGATCCAATCATACATAACTCATTGGTTTTAAGGTTCGAGAATTCTATGGGATTAAATTCATATTTAAAAAAATACTTGTTTACGTAAGGACGTCCGTCCGAAGAGAACGAAGATTAAACGCCAACCCTCTAGCATGCTCTAACTGGCGCTATGCAAACACAGATATTTATTGCTTACGAGGATGTTTGTATATTTGCATAATTCTTCTGATTTTTAGTCTCTTTAAATGAATGAGGCAGAGGACGATCTGATTGGATTTTTGAGAAAATCGTATATCCCCTGTCGAGTCGAACCAAGAAATTCGTTCGGATGCTTTTCCAACTGAGCAATGACCCCAAGCTTTTATAGTCTTAGATTTTTCCGCAAGGACACTTTTTTTCTCGAAGTACTGCGTAATACGCAGTTGTGGGCAACGATATTAAGAAGGCAAACAGTGTAATACGAGTATTAACAAACATTTGGCTACCTAAATAGCGAACAAATAGATTAAATAAGATATTAATGAGACTTTAGGTTAAAACTGTTAGTAGGGCTACTGCTTGGTTGTCTCACATGCAAGATTTCGAACAAGTTGACGATCATCTAAATTAGCTACAGATTTGAAAGATAGATTCACGGGTTTAATGCGCATGTCCAGTTATGATTATCTAACGTTATGATAGCGTGAAACCAAATGATTATTTTTTTTTTTACAAGAACAACACACTAGGACAATGCATGGAAAATATTTTTCCTAGAGTTGGCACCCCACCCCACTACAGTATAATTCTGACTAGTGGGGTGGATGAGGGCGGGCTTGCCTAATGAGGCACGCCAACAAAGACAATTAAGTTCGGACAGCATGGACTCTAATTGTCATGGAAGCTTAGCAAAACTTTGGAGTAAGGAATGCAAGATGAGAAAACTGTCTCAGAAGCGTAAGTTTAAGAATTATGACAAGAAGAAGAAATGATGATGACATAATTAATGTCGAAATATTGAATCCCGACACGATGGCGTGCATTTCGATACTTGGATGTATTATACCATCTTAGATTTCGCAACCTTAGGAAAAACGATAACGAATACGAATACGTCATCATCATTATCGTCATTTGTGCCTAAAACATTCTTGGCAACATATACGAGCTGAATATGATCGTTTACTCATGTAAAGGTCAACTCAGACAGCGTCGTGAGAAATATTAAACACGTTTAATATTCTACTACGCGACTGCCCCCGACGCACACCATCGCGTCTGCGTTCAACTCACACAGACCCAACGCGACAACAAATCGCGTCGGGCTGCGTCGTACGACGCTGTCTGAGTTGGCCTTAAAAGGCTGAATAGCCTACGTTGTGACAGGTATGCTACTATTAGGGGATGGATTGACTAAACGTGTGATGACGTAACCGTATTCGTTATCGTTTTCGTAAGCTTGCGAAACCTTCCTATTAATAAAGAAAACAAATCGATTAACAGTCAAAGGTCTATAGACAACGTAGTTGTTGTTGTTTTTAAAACCAAAATTTATATAGCGCCTATCACAATCCGTAGCCGTAGATACAAGACGATTGTACAAGGCGCTGACATCCTTATTTCCCTGGTCCCTGTATAGGGCCTCTGAGTTGGCAGACCCGCACATTGTGCAACTGTTGTCTCTGCTCCCTTTTTTTGGGTTTTATTCCCTCTTGAAAACGGTCAGGTAAATTTCTCTAATTCTTATTAAAGTAAATAGTGCTGTGTGTACCGGTATACATACGGGGGAAAAATTGAGTAGTTGCATACGTATTCCATGAAACGATGAACCCCAAAAAGAAAGGGGACGGGGGTTCACCCCCGGGAAAAATTTTATTCCTAGATGGTGGGAAATGGGTGGTGAGTCCCGACTTCTGAGGTTTCCTTTAATGGCTTTTTAGTACTTCTAATTTGAAGGTTTTCCCGTCTTGAAAAATTTCTCTTATTACAGTAAATAGGCCTATGTGTGTATACATTTAAAAAAAAATGAGTAGTTGCATTGGGTGGGGGAGGGGGGCAGGGAAATTTTGATTCCTAGATGGCGGGAAATGGGCTTTCCCGATTTCTGAGGTATACTTCTTTAATGACTTCATTAAAAGACACTTCATTAAAAGTATAGGTTTTCTCTCTTGAAAACGATTCAATGAATCCCGACTTCTAATTTTCCAAAATTTCAGCTTACAGGTCTAGAATTTTTTTTTTCATTAATCCCCGAAAAGTGCGATCAGAAGTCCAGCACCTTCCTCTGCGCTACATGCTCTTACATTCATTAGAATGTTTAAAAAGAAACTTTAATTAGAATGTTTAAAAAGAAACAATGTTTAAAAAGAAACCATAGTATTGCACTCACCCATCAACAACGTTTCGTTTGAGTCCTCCGTGTAAGGGTCCAGCTGAACACTAACCACGACATACTCTCCATTGTCTAATAATTTCTTTTCCTCCAGTTCTTCCATGAAGTGAAATAGCTCGAATTTCTCTCCAAGGAATATATAAACTGAAATTGAACAACAAAGTACTTCAAACAATGTCAATTATTTTTATTCAAAATTACATCACTAACACCATCATCATCTTAAAAATCATCATCAACCTTTATTTTATTTATATTATTATTATATAAAATAGTAAATTAGTGTGTTATTGTTACCTCTTGTTTCCTTGTACGTTTCTTCTACAATGTCTTTTAATGGTGTCACATCACTGTATTCACGGAAATATGGTGACGGGAAAGTTACGTTAAATTGAATGGTAATGTTATTGTTTTGTAACGTCTTTTGCAGATTTTCTTTCACGCTGATTCTACGAGATTCATCAGCGGCAACGATAGTCACTTTATACCAATCAAAATGCTTCAATAATGCCAAGACGGATCGAGCAAACTGTGTATCCGGGGGATTTGTCCTCGCGAACGTTTTGTATGTTTCCTTGTCGCTCACTTCGTACTCTGCGCATTGCTGAGGATACAAAATTCTACTCATTATTTTTTGAGATAATGCTTGTTAATAAAAATTCCATTACAGTTATCGAACACTAATCATCTCGTTGTGTATTCATTTTTACCTAACAATGCACGACAATCATGACAGCCAATAATCCAGATGATAATGATTATTAAATGAATGGTTGCAATATGTAACAATGTAACAATCATGACAGCTAATAAGCCAGATTGATTTAGATGAAAATAAATAATAATAAATGAATGGTTTCAATATTGTGTTCATGGTCTAAAATGTGTTAAACACTAGCTGTAAAGTAAAAATAATGAGTTTACTTTTATAGGTATTATAAATATCATATAAAAACAAAGGAAATGCATGTAATTACGTATGAAATCATAGGCAAGTTCCACGCTGCTGCCATACGTGCTTCTGTAGTGCACGTAATATCCGGTCCAAAAAATGCGCTCACGCCATCCTTCCACATTTCCGACAACGCAGCTATTGATTTATCCTCGTCGCCTTGTATATCGCTGTAAACAAACTTTAATTTGTAATTTCCGAGCAATGTTCTATCATTATTTATTTGATTCACAGCTAGTGTCATTGCGCCGCCAGCCGTTCGAGCGGATCTTGATATTGAATTGGTTGCTGTCGCTAGGTAACCCACTTGTATATCTTGAGATGATTGTCGACGATGTCTGGAATGATCCATCAATTGTTGAATTGTGTGACATTTTGATAATATCATGGTCAACATTAAGCATATTGAAAGATATTTCACTTTCAGGGACTTTTTATCTCCCATTTTGAATTTCAAGACAGTGTCTGTTACCGACCTCACAGTCTGTTCATAATACTTTCTGAAAGAAAAGCAATAACTGTAACGTTAATTTTTATAGGTAGGAGCATTATATTAGTGAGGTATAAATCAAAATTGACGTGCCTTTAAACTCTTGCTTTCAGAATAATTTTACTGAGTATTATCATTATCTCTCACACTTAGAGCCTCACAGAACTGTTAACAGATCAAGACTGAATTTGCAAAAGTGTAAATTATTCAGGGGTAGGCCTGTGTGTTTTAACACTAGCAAATTAAGTATTGTAATAATTTAATCCCTCAGGACTCATTAACTCACAGTAACTGGAACAAAATCCTTATCCGGATAAGTCTATAAAGCTAACAAAACTGTGAACGTCAGGATTAGGAGAAGAGGTACCATTTCCTTATTTCAATTTGTCAAATCGAATGAATGATTACGTAGCCTACTTAAGTTTGAAAGTAGGCCTATGTATGTATGTAGTAAGATACATTAATGTTCTAAAGTCTTATCAAGCAAATATAATTTCTTATTCTTAGATAACCTAATAAACACATATTCTGATTCTGATATTTCTAATATTTTCTTTTCTTTCACTATATTTTGCTATCTTTTTATTTTTTCTTATTTTCCCCCTTTTCCCTTGTTGCAAATTAACCACAATTTGACCAAAATCGCAAGTTTACAAACAAGATACACGAGTAAAAGAAGTTAAAAAATTGTCAAAGAGCAATAAAACACAGTTATAATAAAGCTTTGAGTTTGCTGGGAAATCAGTCAGTATTAAATTATTAAAAGTTATGGTTCACAATATATCATGTGTGCTGATAAGCTCACCAAGTCAGACAAATAATCATCTTTTTAGTTCCACAATAGAACATATGTCAATTGTCAGGGAAACAGACCAACTACCTAGCAACATAACTAGGGATTTCCAGAATTTTAATCTATACTTTCACAACAATGCTCTCAATTAATTGGTCTCTCCTTTATTTTTTGTAATTTAGTCCTTTTGTTAAATTTTCCAATCACTTTTGTATTTTTATGTTTTAACTGGACCACGACGAAAACCCGTGCCTTTACATTGAGCGTGCCATCCAGTATAAAGGAAGTTGAATAAATAAATAATGTAACTGTTTTCTTTTTTGCGTATCTGGTTTCATTATTTCGTCTTTCATAAATCGACATTCTTGAGGAGGAGCACCATAAGCGCTCCCGTATACAATTATTATTATAATTATTTAGGCTAAGTTTTAAGCTTTAAGTTTTCAAAAAAGATTTATTACTTTAACTGGTATCAATGTATTATGAGAAGAGATTAGATGTATTCTGGTTGATAACATTAGCCTATGAAAGGAGACATAGAGGCGACATGATTGAAGCAGTTAAATCCTGTCACATAAAAAAAGATATTGATTACGAATACATTTAATAGATCTAAATTGTCAACTACTAGGGGCCATACATTTAAATTGAAAAAGAGATACGCTCGCATGGATCCCCCAAGGCACTGTTTTAACCAAAGAATTGTAAATGCCTAAGTACCCTTTATGACAGCACAGTTGAAGTTCACCTTTCGAATCAATTTTTAAAAGCAGTACAGGAGGTCAAATGGGTGAACAATTTTCTCTCACGATGAAGAGCAAGATATATTTAGTTCTATTATTTTTGACTGTCCAACAGGTCGGCTTAAGTCTAAAGCAGGGCACTCATTTCATCGTGCGACTGTCGTACGACTAATCCATGCAATTGCGCTCCCTGTGAGCGCTAGACGACGCGACGCCGTCTGAACAAAAAAAGCCGTTGCGCGCGCCCGTTCTTCACAGAATCTCGTCTGTCGGGTGCAGTAAGTGTCCGGCTTTATTATGGTGAGAGATCATGCACTGTCGCAGCACCGAAGCTGTGAAACGAATTGCCTATCTGTGATAGCTAAAGTGTGATCATTTTTTCTCATACCTGTCTTTTCGTTTATTTGGTTTTTTTTAAAACTGTGTTCAAATATGAAAGATCAATTACTCTTGCCCATCCTTGTCGCGGATATTGGGAATTTCTTGAGCTGCCATGTTATAACATGAACAACATCTACATCAGATACAGTAAATGCTCGAATAAGCGCCGCGGCGCTTATAAATTTTTGGCGGCTCTGTGCGGCGTTTATTCGGGAGCGGCGCTTCTAAAAAAAAAAAATATTGGCGTGGCGCTTTCTTGCCCGTTTCCATGTTACCTATTTCACGTTTTCCCGTCGTTTAGTAGGACTATCATAGGTCCTACCACCGTAAACAAACGTTTATAAGAAATGCAATTGTGTCTTCATTGTGTTATTTATTAATTTTAACACTATACATTGAATTTAAAACCCTGTTTCATTACACACAGGGTAATATTACAGAGTAATATTTTGGAACACACAGGGTAATATGTTTGAACGTGTTTTTATGTATGCTTCTCCTTGTTTCGAGGTTATTTTTTAATATATAGAAATAAATGGAAAATAAATTGAAATTTAAATATACGCTCGATTAAGCGCCGCGGCGCTTATTCGAGAGCGGCGCTTAACGAAAAAAGTCATGTTTGGTGCGGCGCTTATTCGAGAGCGGCGCTTATTTGAGCATTTAAGGTACAAGCCATTTATAAACAAATGTCAACAATAACAAAATTCAGTATGCAAGACCATTGAGCAAATTTCAACCCAAGAATGTGGAACTGTATATGAGCAAGACCAGGTAGAAACATATCAAGTACCGTATGTATTTTGTATATGGCAAATAAAATGGATCTTAATCTGACTAGTGTAAAGGCCAACTCAGACAGCGTCGGCCGACGCAGCCCGACGCGATTTGTTGTCGCGTCGGGTCTGTGTGAGTTGAACGCAGACGCGATGGTGTGCGTCGGGGGCAGTCGCGTAGTAGAATATTAAACGTGTTTAATATTTCTCACGACGGCTTAAGACTGTCCCCGACGATAAATCGGGTCGGGCTGCGTCGTACGACGCTGTCTGAGTTGGCCTTAAGTGTTTTGTTCTATTTGTTAAATATGATTGTGAGGTCCGAAAATTAAGATCTGAATGTGAGATCTGAATATGGGATCTTAATAATAATGAGATCTAAAATAAGAGATCTGAGTGTGATGAAAATACCAAGGCAGTTCAGCTTAATGAGGAAGTTATAAACGTACTGAATTGAGTTATATTTTCAGGATATCCAGAGACTAGGTAGCATAAATTGGAAGCTCATTAGCCGCACAGGCATCGTGTCTCCTGCCTGTTTAATATGGAGAAATGACGAGAAAGAAAAAGTGTCACCAGAAACTATGCCATAGACCAAAAATATAAATCAATGACACATTCCTCTAGAGTTCCATTTGGAAATTCGGTATGCCCCAGAGCCAGTTCCTATAAAAACTTTAAAATGTATGTTTTTAAGTAACTAGTTAGGGATTTCAGATATGTTCGTACACGTAGTTAAGTAGAAGACAGCAGCAGCAGGTGATATTGTGTTAAACGCAGAGACAGCCGGGTGTACGCAGGTGATTGATTAAAGGCAGCGTATCCATTATTACCGAAATTGTCAGAGTAATGATAATTAATTATAAGGAAATTACAGATTTACATCAGCACTAACACTTCCCGTCCAAAAATATATTCAAAACGAATTAGCGAAAAAAAAAATAGAATAATATTTACAAAATATAAACACCTAAACTAATCAAAGACTTCATTTAAATACGAAAAGTAACACGGGACCGTATAGTGATCATTTCATACAGTAACAGATCAAGACTGAATTTGCAAAAGTGTAAATTATTCGTTATGCCAGATACGTAGGACCCCGTTGGGGGGTCCAGGGGAGAATCCCCTGGAAAGTAGTGTGCTCTGAAAGCTTTTAGGGCTGTTCTGAGATGATAAAGTGAAAATTGCAATAAACGCATTATAAATAATATTAGTAAGCCTAACAATAATTATATAAAACTCAGCAGTGGTGGATCCAGGAATTCAATAGAGAGGTGACCCAGGGGGGACTTTTACAGATTGAGGTACCACCTACCTATGAAAATTTATGATTAGGGTACCACTAGATGGCCGGAAATTACACTCTCAGACTTAAATTTGGATAGAGGGCCTATATATTTTTTCCACTAAAACAATTTAGGGGGAGGGGGCCTTCAATCCACCACTGTTCAAAACATTCTTTATCCAAAATAGTCATAATCACAAAAAAATGGGCATGTGAAACCAAATCACATCCTAAAAACAAATTTATTCACTCCCGCCTCATCAGCAGTCACTAAGACATACTCTGAGACAGGTGTTGACTCCATGGAGTTTAATGTCATACTCAGGAAGGACGCAATATCTTTTGAAAGGTGGAGGTAGGGTGGGGGGGGGGACATTTCGTGAGTCGACACCCACCTCACACCAGCCTGCCTTAGAAACACCATGGTTGGGTCTGAGGTGCGAAAAATTGAGGTAATAGTACCTCTAGATGACCAGAAAATGACATTTTTTGTAAAATTTATCATCATCACATCAGCGTTGTATAATGCCGTAGCTAGGATTTTCAAACAGGGCAGAACAATATAATTTTCCCAAAAGTTGACCCATTTTACGCAAAATATGAGAAATCTGGACCCATTTTTCAAAAACAGGACTCATTTTGTGCTAAAACAGCATAATTTAGACATATTTTTGAAAATGTAGACCCATTTTTTGTGGACCCAATAGAAAAATTGTGTGGGACTGCCCAACTGTCCCAATAGCTGGCTACGGCATTGATTACATAATATAGGCCTACTCAAAATGAAGCGCCAACAAATTCCTCATGATCTTTTATCAGGGATTTTTGGCAACCATAGAGATCTTATTAATATGTGTGACGTACCATAGAAAATAAATTTTATAAACATTGTTTTTTAATATGTACTTTATATACTTCAAAGCCGTGATTTCACAACCACCTCAGCCATGGTTGGGGCTGAGGTGCGAAAATTTGAGGAAATAGTACCGGTACCTCTAGATGGCCGGAAATTACACTTTTATAGTGAAA